GAACCTTGCAAATTGACCATTTACACAACCAATTCGTTTTGGCGCCGTTTTCGTTATGTAGTAAACTTTCGACCACTTTTCTGGCTAAACTCCATCGCTTGCACATTTGCTTACCAAACTCATCCACGACTCTGCAATTTTGCGGTATAGAAGCCAGGTGGACCCGTTTGGCGCGCAATTTCTGAGGAATCCACTCAACGAATCTACTCGTGCTTTTGCATGTTGGACTTTCATGAAGGTAGCATGCGCTGTACAAAATTTGGGCTTAGAACGCTAGCTGGAACACGCTCCACGAATCTCGTAACAGACACACAAACACACACACAAAGTCACGTAAATATCGTTAGCCTGTTATTATAAGTTATGATATATATATATGTATGTATGTATGTATGTATGTATGTATGTATGTATGTATGTATGTATGTATGTATGTATGTATGTATGTATGTATGTATGTATGTATGTATGTATGTATGTATGTATATGCTCGTACGAAAGTGAGTAAGTAGTTGTTCTAGCTGCAGGTGCTTTTCATTCAGAGTTCGGCACGAGATGGCTGTGGCAAATGAATACGAAATTCAAAAACGACATCCTCTATGACACCTCTTGAATGCAAACACGAGTAACAAAGTATGTATCAAACAGAATATGAATTCAATATTAGGACATTTCCCAATTAGTGACATTTCGTGTGCCGCTCGCTTAAAGAAGGCTTGCCGCCGCCATTTAAGATTTTTGGAGGGCTGTAAGGTGGGAAGGAGAAGTCGCAAAATACACAAAAGCTTCTAACACTAACAAATCGTCGGTATTTGAAACTTGCTAAGATCGATTATGATAACACACCAACTTTGCAAAGCATCAGAGTGTTTGCAGCTTCGAAACATCAAATCTCGCATTCTACGGGTACAGCAGAGGCGGGCTCAAAATCAGGAATTATGATAATTTCATGCCAAATATTCCACGAATTGGGAAGAAATATGGCCTGTCAAAAAGGGGAAAAAAGCTGCAACGAATGACACATTAGCTGTGCTTCTTTTGATGTTCTGTGAGCTTGGGGATGATCAAAAGTGGAATTTGATAGCATCAGAAATACAATTTGAGAAATTTTGGAAATCCAGCTATAGGTGCCAAAAAATTTTTTACTGCATTGCACTTTGTTTACGCCCTTTAACGGCTATCAAATTTCCGAAAGGTCAAAATGAAGATTTTGAAAAATTGCTAGAGTTGGGCATGGTAAAAACCATGGGTTTAAATTTTGGTAATTATGTCAGACCAAAGCGAATGGTCTCAAGACATGACCTTCGAGAAGAGGAAGATAGTGCTTAGAGCATTCGTCTGCTTTTATTTCGCGTGTTTTCATGACAGGTTGAAAAAAACGGAAAGAACTTTCGGACCAATTTAATAAAAAGCTGAAAGTCTGTCCGTCTGTCTGTATGTATGTAACCAGTTACCGAGGAAGGGGGGCGCCCCCCCTCTCCAAGAATGGGTCTTGAAATTTTTGAAAGTTACTTAAATGTGTTATAGAAATGTGCAGAGGGCTTGTATTTACTTGTAAATAATTAAGATAATTTTTAAAAATTTTTAAAAATTCAAATTAGCCTTGTAAAAAGATTTTTTCCGGGGGCGTGATTGACGCCACGCCCCCTTTTTCTAAAATTTTGGGGACAGGGGCCCGGAAAAACTTTGGGAAACATCCCAAAAAAATTTTCGGAATGCGTGGCTAACGCCACGCACCTTCATTGAAAAATTTTTTTTATCGCCCACCTCCCCGAGCCGAAATCCTGGGTACGCCACTGGTATGTACGTATGTTCTGAATATAAATTTTTAATTCTGATCCGGTCGGGACCAAATAGCACACATACACTCCGGGGTAGGGAGGGTGTCAGGCCCTTCGTTATCAACGATGTCGATTTCATTTTTTAATCGAATTTTGGAACTTTAACCTGCGGGGCTTGGAGTTGGCACAAGGGGGTAATCGAGTATGCTCATTACTAACACAGCGGGATAGAAATTTGGCATGTAGATGTGAGCAAAGGAAATGGTTATACAGGGATAGAGATGCGATCTTTATCATATTGTGACAGTGGCGGGCGCAGCTGGGCCAGTTAGCTTTTTCATAATTTTTCATACATAGTACCGAATCTCCATTGCGCATCTACACAAAATTTGGCGTCATATTATTTCTTTATGGTTGTAAACAATCGTTGTTTTCGGACGCTATTGAATTCTCTTGCATAGTGGCCATATTGGCGGGATAGCTTTGGTTTTTCAACGAATAGGACCGGTGAAGCAGTGATGAACATTAGCGACGTCTCTAGAAAACGACGAGATGGAATAAGAGGGGGATGGGGTGTTTGTCAGCAGGCGCTTTTTATTGCCAGATGGACACCAAATAGCACATAATAAGCGTTTTATAACATTCTGAAAATAATTGAAATTTAGAAGGAGTTATATTAGATAGTTGCATGGACTGTTCAATTTCAATACCTTGGAATCAATTCAAAACAGCAATTCTGAAGGTCAAATACCCTTGCAAATGCAGCTAAGGACATAATCGTAGAAATTTCGGTCTCTTTTCTAGCAAAAGCCACCAAACTCAGAAAGTTGTAACCACAGACAGATAGTAAGCTTACGCACTTTTGGAACTTGATAACTCGCATAGCACGCACTAAACTGAAATTTTGAGTTGGTGACAATCGGAGAAACCGCGTCTCTTAACCGACTCCTGGGGGAAGTTGGGGGGAGGGGGGGACGGGGGGGGGGGGTGAGAGAAAGTTTGGATAAAAGAGATGAAATGAGATAAAATCATGTATATGTATGACTCATGTAAAATGGCAAGGGTTTGGTCAGAGAATATGAGCTTGTTAGGAGGAGGGCTGCGAGAGTTTGTTGGGGCGATAGGAGTGAAGCTGGAAAAACAAGAAATTCCTTTGCTTGGTTAATTATATAAAAACTAGTCTTAAACACCTTGTGTGATCAAGATTTTTTCGAAATTTTTTACCACTTCCGAAACCTTGATTTCGCACGAAGCGAGTAGTGTTTTTTTTCATGTACATCACACAACACCGCTCTCAGAACGTGCAAAAATTCCGTGAATGTTGCGGAATTCCGCGAAGGTCAGCGAAATTTTCGGAATTTCGCGACATTCCGGGAATTTCGCGGAATTTTCGGAATATCGCCATAACTTTCCTCGGAATGCATAAATTCTGGATCTGAAACAAGGGTTATACTCAGCTCATTAAGGCAAATCTTTTGGTACCTTGCCTTACCGTAATTCTCGGGGCACGATTGGTGCACGGTCTGAGATGAATTTTGCATTTTGGGAGAGGGGAGGTGGGTGTACGGCAGCAAGAATCCTTTTGCGATTTTTCTGAAATTCTAGGGGGGAGGAGAGTAATCAGTGGTATTGGGTGTGGTTAGTTCTAAAATATGCCGTGATGATGCCGTCGATGTTGTTTTTCCCCTCTTCTGTTTGTTTAGTAGCTTCAAGCACCTATTTATTACTAGACGGGGTGGCTTCGAGTACAGGACACGAATATTCTGTTCACCTCCCCTCCCCCAAAAAGCAGAATTTATCTCCTACTGTGCATTAATCATGCCCCGAGAATTACGGTAAGGCAAGGTACCAAAAGGTTCGCATTAATGGGCTGAGTATAACCCTTGTTTCAGATCCAGAATTTATGCATTCCGAGGGAAGTTATGGCGATATTCCGAAAATGCCAAATTCCAAAAATTTCGCGGACCTTCGCGGAATTCCGGGATTTCCGCGACATTCACGGAAATTTTGCACGTTCTGAGAGCGGTATTGTACTAAGCTAACACATGCATCAGACACCCAAAGAACGATATAGCTTTTTACCTCTAAACGATGACTGTCCTGCTTCGTAAGCCATCTGTGCCGAGCTCTTCCTTCATATGGTTGAAGGTGCGGTTTGGTCAGTTAATCACCTTCATTCTCACTTTCGTTTGATTTCCCGACAAATTGAAAACGGCACAACCTTTCGGTTGATGTGGGATACTGTTCGCTGGGGACATACGGAATTTTTCTAAGCTTAACAAGAAGGTAACTTGATGCAAGGCTGCAACAAACACCTTCAGCAAAACATAAAACTGTGTTGAAGCGTAAGTTGCCCGTAAATCGTATCTGATTGTAATTTGTCTGTTTTCTACTCAATAACTATTAACATTAACATTAACGACGAGCTGTTTTTTTTGACGTCTATCCCTTGGACGAACCGTTTGTGGGCATTTTCACAGCTGCATGCATGTATGAATGCATGCATCTATGCGCAATATACTAAAATGCAAGTGGGCGAGGCAGCTTCACCCACTTTCGGCAAACCCAGCCTACTTTCCAAAAATGCCGAAATTTGCACAAAATTCCGACACTCTAAAAAGTGGGCGGAGCCTGCCACTGAGGGGGCGGAGCCTGCATAACCGAAGTCGTGGCTTAAATTAAGGTTATTTTGAGATTCATCAGTCGTCTACGAGCTTTTCTGTGCAATAGAAGGAAAAAATTGTTGTAGAGGGTAACAGAGTAAGCGGAGTTTGCCAAAAGGGGGCGGGACCAAAGTGAAATGCTTCTAAGCCCAATTGATTATGTGAACACAAATCGGAAGCGTGCACATTAGAACTTATATTTAGGGTGTCGCGCATCATTGCGCGACATCGTCCACAGGGACAGACTGCCTGTCGCACACCATTGCGCGACACTGTCGTCAACGTGTTCAAAGAGAATCAGGACGCAAAGTTATGCAGGCATATATTGAACATGGAGAATTGGAAATTAAGTTAAACAGTGAAAAATATGAAGGCAATGACGAGATATACAGCAATTGAGTTCCTTGATGGTGGAGAAGTAACACCCTCTAACTCATAGAAAATTAAAAATGCATTAACATAATTCAAAATTTACATTCACTTGGGGTTTGATCAATGATTATATGGGATGGCGGGCGAATTGGAGATGATGGCAGCGAATAAACATCCCACCCACCTGTACACCTGCTTTGTCCAGCTCAATTTCGAAATACCGACTGCACCACTCGTAACTGGTCGCAAAACAGACGGAAATCTCATCTGGGTCAATGCCTTGTGGAGGATGCTCTAATATTATCCTAAGACGAATCAGGAAAAGTCAACAAACTTGGTGAATTGAGTAATTATCATTGTATGGAATCACAGCAGAACTTACCCATCGCCACCGCTTCTGAATTTCATCCCTTTTTGTTTTAGATATTTCAAGGTACAGGAGCTGTTTATTGTGATAGCGAGATTGCGATTGAAGGGTTGACCAATGCAGATTCTTTTATAATCAAAAGCATATGCTTTTGATAGCGTTTCAGTGTCATAGGGATTATATAATGTATTGTCTGCCTCTTTATGTACATACTTCCTCCAGCTAACAGAAGGCAGAGCAACTCCGTCATATTTACATTTTTCAATCCAAAACTTAGGTGTCCTCAAAATCCGATGGAAGAGCTGGCAAGTCTGAAATGTGTGTTGATAAATTACCAGAATCCTCGTACTAGCGTGCTAGTAAAAGGAAACTTATTTGTAATATCTTTTAATCTCGTTTTCTGCCATCAAGAGACCTGTACGCACTTCAACAAAGTGGTTTGATGGACAGTTAAAACTAAGCGAACAATCATAACCTTATAACCCAACAGACTGTGCACAGACATTTACAGGTAAACATTGCTGTTTAGTGTACTATGCAATCACTATAGATGCCCAGAAAGTGATTTTTTGGGTCATCGAGGTAAATGGTGTGAAAAACAAGACCTCAATGAAACAAGTGCTCTGCTAAAATACCGGGGGAACGGCGCACCAATCAGAGGATCTCGGTCGAGCGATTGCCTACGGCCGAGCGACCTAGCTTGGCTGGCAAGCGTTCCGCAATCGAAGACGCCGGGCAAGCGCTCACAACCGCTGGCCGAACGGCATCACTGAACGGCCGACCAGTCCGCAGTCGAAGAGCGAGAAATAAATGGTATTCAATCTTCTGACAAGGCAGCACTTCGCACGTGAAGACTGTCAAAACTTGGCTTACCAGTGCCGCGCTACTTCATTCATTCACGCTGACGCATTCTTGTTACGTGCTTCATAAACTCACGCTTACAGTCATTGTTTTTATTCTTATTACCCTTTTTTACTATAATTTTTCGGATTGGAGAAGACGAAGTGCAGCAACATGGAAATGGCCAGGATTAGATACATCCAACAACGTCGAAGATGCGGATGAGTACTTTTGAATACATTTTTGCGGTAATCATCTTTCTTTTCAAATTCAAATCCTCTCATTTGCTTGTCTTGCTTTGGAAGAGGACTATATATGTCGCCGAAAGTGGGTCGTGTCAAGCACATGCTCTCTCTTTTGTAGTTGTTACGCATCCGCAGACGCATCCGCAACGCGTCGACACTGCGCGGCAATCTTCGATAGATGCGGCCGGTGGAGAATCCATTCAGGAATATTTCCTAAACCTCAATGGAAGAGGCTGAAGTTTAACTCAAAAACTTGCGCCTAATATCGGCAACACACTCTTAGGTATGAAGTCAATATCAAAAATAGTTTTAGACTTTTGTTTTTAGACTTTGACGAAAATACGACCGGCTATGGCATCCAGAACTCAAAACAGCAACGGTCAATGTCGACAGTACAAGGTGAAGCTAGAGTGTATTCTCCAAAAAGTTATAGTTCCAAATTTTTACAGCTTTTTTGCAGTTCTCGTAGAAACAAGAGAGGAGAGGGCGGTATTTTATAGGATGGCATATGAAAAGATTGCGTATAGGCGGCAGCTCTTCAAAGGCTGCGTTCATACTGATCCCGAAGGCCGGGAACAGTTCCAGCACAACGCTCATTCGAGCTCTGTGCTGGAACTGTTCCCGAACTTTTGAATCAGTATGAACGCAGCCAAAGCTCTGCAAATGGCCTTTTGAGTAAAGGAGCTTTATCTTCGCTCCTCATTGACCTTTTATTTAGAGGAGATGTTCGCGCCTGCGAATATGACATCGAAAACAATAAATGGAAGCTCTACAATGTAAGCTTCCTTGAATAAGAAGTACATACTATCTTATTTATATATAAACTGAAAACATCCGGACATAATGAAATACCGTATAATCGGTTTGATCACGGCTTTCACAGCTGGAGCGATCTCTACTACGTACACAGTTCCAATTCTTTTCCTGTCCCTAGCTACATTACTCCAGCTTTATTCCAAAAATTTCCTTGCCCCCTTGCCATTTTACATAAATACCTTGAATTCCAATAATTTCCTGCCTCCCTTGCCATTTTGCAGAATACTTTGATATGAAATATAAAATCTGAGCATGGTAATTCTACTTAGAATAGTGGTCAGAGCTCAGCGTCTTGTGAAATGCTGACAAAAGTACAATCTGAAGAGCAATTGGACAGCAAAAAATGCATTTTTCGCAGGCTCTCTCTGTAGCTGGTCAGTTTTCGGAGTGAAAAATTTTGTTTTCCCCACAGTTTTCATGAAGAACGGTGCAAAAAATTTCGACAGAATTTTCGCTAAAGAAAATGCCTGTGAAGAACCAGCATGGAAGCTGTGGTCTCGCTGGTCGAGCTTCGGCATCCCTTCTCTGTGGCTGATCAGTTTTTGCAGTGAAAAGTTTTGTTTTCCCCCAAACTTTCCACGAAAAACGGTGAAAACCTCGATTTCGACAGAATCTACGCTACAGAAAATGCCTTTGCTCCCGGAGTGAAGACCCAGCCTGGAAGCTGTGGTCTCGCTGGTCGAGCTCCGGCATCCCCTCTCTGTAGCTGATCAGTTTTTGCGGTGAAAAGTTTTGTTTTCCCCCACACTTTCCACGAAAAACGGTGAAAACCTCGATTTCGACAGAATTTACGGCACAGAAAATGCCTTTGCTCCCGGAGTGAAGACCCAGCCTGGAAGCTGTGGTCTCGCTGGTCGAGCTCCGGCATCCCTTCTCTGTGGCTGATCAGTTTTTGCAGTGAAAAGTTTCGTTTTCCTCCCGCAATTTCTAAGAAGAACGCTGGAAACCTCGGTTTCGATGAAATTTGCGCCACATTGGTCACGGCCTCCAAGTACCTCAGCTTTTGCTTTCAAACGCTGAACTTTTCCTTTATTGTTTGATTTCCAACGGCCTATCATCTTTCTTTGGAGTCCTTTATTTTGCCCTTGCTCCCGGAGCGAAGACCCGGCATGCATCTGCATTGGTCAGCCTTGTTAGGGAAGCGATTATGCTGATTTTAACCAACGGAAGAAGCAAGCTGTATCAAATAACGAATTCTGGTGGTGGCATTAGGTTGGTGCAAAAGTTTTGTCAGTTTTTTCAATCCATCGGCAATCACGCTAGAACGAAGATATACAAATGCTTTGAAATGAGTCTCATGCAGAATTTCTTCCTCTTTCCAGCTGCTAAGGTCTCGTTGTGTTTCGTCACGAGAGTGACAAGGTATTTGCTGGAAATTACAGCAACTCGTTTTTACCATGTCCAAATTTCGCTAATTTTCAAAATTTTTGTATGAGACTTTCGGAGGAGGCTACTAACCAGCAGATAGGGGGATCCTTTTGCCAACTTATACAATTTTTTTCTTTTTTTCAGATGTGTTTTCAGGTTTCTGCTAAATATTTTTTCAAAAGCTTGTATTTCGGAAAGATCGCATAACCTTACTGCACCAAAAACTGCAAGACCTACAAAAAACTGAGGTTTCAACACACGATTATTCTACGGCAATCTTGCAAAGTAAATGAGTGATTTTTGCTTCAAATTATGAAGATTTTGAAACATAGGTTACGTCACTGCGCACTCCTGAAATTGAGAAATACTGCGATTTTCCCCACAAATTTAGCCTATTTCGGCAAAAATAAGACAAGTATCAGAAAGATGAGGAAAGTTTGCATCTAATTGTGACTGAAGTGTCTAACATTTTATGTTCTACGAGGTTGAAACAGGCTGAATGTAAAATTTGGTTACTTCAAAAAATAAATCGTAGAGATTCTGAAAAACAAGCCATAAGACTACAAAAAATTGCTTCTGTTGGCAAAAGATTTGCCCTATCTGGTTGTTATTAGGGCTCCTCCGAAATTCTCATACAAAAATTTTGAAAATTAGCGAAGTTTGGACATGGTAAAAACGAGTGGTTCCAGCAAATATCTCGTCATTCTCGCAACAAAACACAATGTTTAGCAGCTGGAAAGAGGAAGAAATTCTGCATGAGACTCATTTCAAAGCGTTTGTATATCTTCGTTCTAGCGTGTTTGCCGATGGATTGAAAAAACTGACAAAACTTTTGCACCAACCTAATATTTGGAAGGAAGAAAATCAGATATTTTTTGTGTCTACCTGCGAAGTTTGGTTTTTCATTTCTTTAGCCTTTCTAGAGAGGAGGTATGAACGCCGTTTATAGTTAGATGCAGTCCCAACTAAGCAAATACTATTGTATCTGCCCCGACCCACTTACCGCGGCCCGTAGGGCCGCGAGTTATGCATATATTTTTTAGAGAAAGAAAAAGTGTGCACGGCCGAATGTTGACTGCTAGTTAATGTTTAGTCCACAGAAAAAGCCATTATGCGCTACCGTCTCAAAGGAAGAGAAAGTTAATTTTTTGAGTTTATTATGTTTTTTGTTTCAATAGGTTTTTGAAAGTGTCCGAAATGAGGTTAATGATTTGTTTAGTTTATTTACAAAATTTATCTCTTCTGTTGTCCACTTGTGCGAGTTGTGATTGGTTATTGTGTTTGTTAAGTGTTATCTTATTATGATTGAGATTTCAAATAGAAATTGGGATTTCGAGCCATTGTAATTTCTGGATAAAAAGATTTCAACAAGCTTTATAACGGAGACCGCGCCAACAGCTGCTATGACCGCGCCAATAGACGCAGTGACCGCGCCGACACCCGCAAAGACCGCATCAGCAGCGCTTTGACAGGACGAGAAACCACAGAGACAACGCCAACATCTACAATGACCGCGCAAACAACCACAAAGACCGCGCCGACAGCCACAACGAACTGCCGAGGTTACGACGTTTGGATTGCTGGCGGCAGAGCGCTCGCAATGACCGGGCAAGCGGTCACCGATACTGACCGGAAACCCGCATCCACCGGACGACCCAGAAAAGTGAAATCGCTGCTCGGCGCCTGTGGCCGCTCTTCCCGTATTTTTGCCTGAGTGTGTAAGTAATTCAACTCGAAGCTCACTGTGCATTGTAGTGTTCCTCCGCAAATAATCTTTTTGAAATAATTCATAATTGCGCTTTGACGGACTATTGTGATCATGACATGTTAGAGTGAAATAAAATTCTCAGAAATTAGATTGTGATTTACAAACAAAATAGTCATAAAAAAGACTTTGAGGCAGTACATACCTCTTACTCTGTCCCCTGAAAATGTACTGCATATCCAAAAGTCCGTTTTCTAACAGAAAAGTGATGCGACTAGCTTTATTGCTAGTCAACGGTTTCCAAAGTTGGCATCGCATCGCCGTTCAAGCAGATATTTTTTGGTCTTCAACCTTAGCTTCTGTTACGGCCATTAAAGATGAACAAAAACCCAAGTTGCAAAAATTTACATAAAGGAACATCTAACTAATGCATCGATTGTCGCAAGGCGTATCAACATGATTTCTATTTATTCAAATCGTTCTAGTGAAAGCTTATCAAATTAAAAGTGCTTGAATACAACAAATTAGAAATCACATTCAGAAGTATCAGACAAAGGAGCAAGGGGGTAACGAATGATGTGTACCAATGGTTTCCAGAGTTCTTGAGAAGGTAGTGCAAAGCGCTTTTGCATCAGCTGCTGACAGCGGGAGTCGATCGCAAATATTTTCACTAGCAGAACAAGTCGGCACCGAAAGCGCATAAATATGCGGAAGAAGGGCTTCTACAAAGCCTGTTTGAAAACGAATGAAAGTACCGAAGTTGGTTTTTTGAATGAGGGAAGACTGCACTTGAACGCGAGAGGGGCTAGTATGGAACACACTGTCAAAAAGCTTGTCTGGCATAGCTCAGCATGATAATCTATGGTTTTTAATTCAAACAGCGCGACTGCATATATACACAGCAAAATTTAACATAAGGTAATCATAATTTTTATTCCCTTATAATGAACAATAAGTGTGTGACAATTTTAATTAGTTCAATAAAAAAAACACGGACCTCTGGCTTCAAAGTGACTCTGCTATGGGTAGGTAGAAACTCAGAAAAATATTTGCAGTTTACTAGTGCATCACCTCTGCTTGTTTTTCTATCTGGACGCTTTCCTCGTACTCACGTAATGATGGCTTTAAAGCTCCCCCCGCTATGCTGGCAATCATGAATGAATTGCAAACAAATACTCATTCCAAAAGCTTTTCACATATGATCTCGGTTGCTTTAGGGAAAGAAAACCTCTGTGGCATAGGATATACGCGAATTTGAATTGGTTACCAGGGTAAATCATGGCGTATCAATTACCATAATACAAAGACCACATTAAACTACATCTCTGAGTAAAAATCTCTTTGAATTTTCAGGTAAACCCTTCACAAATCAACTGTTTACGCAATCTCTTTTTCTTGGCGCCTTCTCGCGAAAAACATGATTAGCCAATGTAAAAACATATGCCAAGCAAATCTACAACTTTGCAAAAACTCTGGATACCTCCTACCCTTCGCTCCAACCAGTCAGCTGCTGGAAGGCGGGGCTTCATGAACTGAGAAGGCTGCTCGCGTCCGTCTGCAAGTCTGCGCCTCCCTCACGAACATGAACTGATCATTTTCTAGCCATTATCACGAAGCCCCGCCTTCCAGCCGCCGATCTGGTTGAAGCACAAAGTACTTATGTAGGCCAAAAGCTGCATGAATCATTTGGCGCACGCTTTTTAAGCGTTCAAATTCGCTTGCGCTTTTGCACAGTGGACCTACATGTAGGTAGGATTTTATGACATTTTAGCTTAAAGCGTCTGCTGGAACCTTGAACTCGCTATACAGACATACACATACACACGACACATACACACGACACACACGACACATACACGCATACACACATACATACACAATACACACGTAAAGGTTGCTGCATGACGAAGGCGCAGAAGAAGTTTCAGTTAAGCGGGCGCGAACGCCGCGCGCGCGTATCCTCACCGTAAATCCTGCGCCTCATGCGCTCTGCGGCTAATAAGGCCGAATTCGCGCCCAAAGGTATTGTGCCTTCACCTGCAGCAGCCTATACACACATACACAACACACAGAGAGTCACGTAAAGCCCTTAGCCCCTTATTATAAGTTACGAAATTTAGTCCACCGTCATCCCCTAATGAAATGTTAGCAAAACTCACCAGTTCAGCTAGTAGCAATGTGGCATTGTCACATCTTTTGAAAATCTCAAACCACAGAACTTCTGCACAGCTGCTATTTTGCTGATCGCTCTCACTTCCAATGAGCAAACCAGCCATCGCATTTGCGGTAGAGTCCATATCCCACTTGATCTAGAGTGCGCTGCTACAATTTAGAAAACAAATCGAAAAATGTGCAGGTACAGCGTAGATTTCTAGCTTAATAAAGGTGCTGCAATGCCGCAAAAATGCTGTAAAATCTGTGCGTGAATAAATATCCAGTACTGCCGGCATTTTGCGCGCGCAAGAGACCTGCGTCACAAACGTAGGTAGTTGTTCACGCGCAGATTTTACCGCATTTTCTTAGCATCGCAAACTCACAATATTGAGCGGAAAATTTTCTCGACTGTACACCACAATGCCGTAAAGTATTTGAAGGCAATTTTTTCAAGTACGGTTATGAAGAGGTGCCATAGATATGAATACGAATATGTATGCGAAAATATGCGACAAAGGTGGTGTCGATGATGACATTGATGAACGTTCATAATAAGCAATATTTGATGACATCTCACAAAAAGCAACAACCGAATGACTTTCAAAAGGGAGCACCTTTATTTTATACAATATTACTTCTTCAGCCATCGTTCGGCTGTCTTACAGTATTTTTGGCGTGAAATATATTGTATTTGGTGTAAGTGCAGAATGATAGTTACTTATTTCACGCCTATTTTTCCAATTAGCATCATGCCGAGCGATGGCTGAAGGAGTGTTTTCCATCCTATTTTTCTTTTGTGTTTGCGTTTACTTGAACAAACAGTTCCATAAATCGGTGTTTGTACTTAGGCGTATCAGTAAACCACTGATCTCATGTGACTGTGAACTGGCTGCTGGCTGCTTTTATTTTTCTTCAAATAAAAACGTTTCAGGAATATTTCGTAGACCGGGTCTCGTTCTGAACGAAAGCGAGAGGAGGATTCAGTCGCTTCTGGAGGTGGTCAAGGTAGCTATGTTATCTTGTGTTTTTACTTTTTCATGATTGTTTACTCGACTACTTGCTTACATAAAGGAGCGCAAGGCGTTTTCTCAACAAGAAAAGAGTACTTCCTGAGTGGTCCGAATATGAATCTCTTTTTTTCCGCAAGATTTAAACCATTTTTTACTGTTTGTGGTGTGCTCCCAATGGGTTGCAATGGATGTATTGAACTTGGTGCTACTTACTGAACTTCTTTGATTTGCTATGATGTACCTCTCATAACTGGAGAGCTCATCATCAATTCGGACAAGGTCGGGTCCCTGTATGGGTACATAGGAGTGGTGTTCTGGGAAGCTAGACTGCTATCTGGTTGTCACATCATTGACCTCTGTCGTATTTTAGGCCCAAGTTTTGTGGACGAGCGCAGTTTTCTCCCGAGCCAGCTGCAACCATAATGCGGGATCACACGTCCCAGCCGAATATGATGCAATCGCCAGAGCACCACATCTTACAGCATCACAGGATCATAGGATGCATAGGATGTTACAGATTGACGTGTTCGCATCAAAGTATTCGCATCTTACAAAACTAGGCGATATCGGTATGTTTCAGCATATTTAATTCCTTTGAGAATTTTCTAGAGTAATTGTCCTCCCATTTGCATCTTACGCCTCTTTTGCATTTGTAGAAGAGGGCGAATGAGTTCTGTGACAGCGCTAAAGATTAATGGATTTTTGTACGAGGGCTATTTTTTGTTTAATTTACTGCAAAATTTGGGACTCAAAATATCCATAAGTCCACTTAGAAGATGTGCTTGGTGCTCAGTCTTTCTCATACTCCATTCTCAAATAAGAACGTTTTGCGCAAGAATGTTTGGAGTTTACATTTTGAGAATCCTCATTTGGTTTTGCTGGCATTATTACCTTACACTCTCAAGGATCGTTTGATCGTTTAAGATTTTTGCTGTTTTGTTAGCAGTAGATTGCTCACACCGTGAATATTTAGATATCTAACTCCTTTCTCGTTATCTTTCCACTGAAGAAGAAACTGAAGATGAAGACGTGCCATGGACTGGAGAACAACCGTTGAACAAGCTGTCAAAGCTGAAGACCACTCTTACTAGGTGAGGGACTTGTCAATCTTCGTAATTCGAGCTTAACTTACTTTGAAGTGGTCATGCTGCTGGCTATTGATGGAACGGCTCTCTCAAAAAAACCATCGAGAGACCTACAAAAATAACAGTTGTGTTTTGTGTTTTGGTTTTGTTTCATTAGGTTTTCGCAATAATGCATTTTTTCTTAGAGTAATCAATTTGCTTGTACTCTTGTAGAATGTGAATAGCTTTTCTTTTTTTGCTTATTTCCAAAAATACTATGCAAATATTCTCTCAATTTTTGCTTATCTTATCAGGCCAAGCAGAACGGCTTCACGTTGGGTTCCCATGACCATGGGAACTATAGGGCTTTGTTGTTCAAAGCATACTCCACTTGTTACAACCTTTAACAGGTATATCATATAGAACCCACTCAGATAATCTCCGGGGGCAGGCGGTCCGCAAACTCGCGCTTTTTTGCAGGCGGTCAGCAGAATTTTGGGGCGTGGCCAAACCTTCAGCGGGCGGTATTTCTTTTCTGCAAGCGGGCATCATTACAAAATTTTCTGCAAGCGCTCGTCAAACAATCTCTTTCAGCGAGCGCTGGCCAAACTTTCAGCGGGCGCTCGGACTCTTTTTACGCGGTTTCGGGCATACGCCGAGAAAAGATGAGACTCTATGTGGCAGGGGTGCCATCGATGGTTTTATTACCCAAGTTTGGGGTACTTTCTCCCAGCGGAAAATACCTGGGGGTTGCGCGGTCCTCCACAAAGGACCGTGCGGCTCCCAATAATTTTGCATGTTTACGCGGAATGTCCGCGAGAATGCGGCCACTGTGCCGCAACTTATGAATAGAAAAAGCGCGGTAGATCTTCGAGCGTTCGTCTAAAAATTGGCCAAAATTATTCCAAATTTCTGCAAGCGGACCACAAAAAATCAGCGAACTATTTTTCCGGTGCCCGCTTGCTCCAAATTCGCATGGCCGCTTGCCCCCCGGCGATTATCTGAGCAGTTCACCGTCTAGAAAAATGTTAAGTGACTATAAGCTATCATGACAAGAAGCGTCGATCTTTGTTTAACACGGCATGGCAGGAAGTGAAAAGTCAGACGAGTTCAGAGCAGTTGCCCATCGATCGGTGACGCTTGTGTTAATATTGAGAAAAATCAACAGCTTACATCAATGGTCTTTTCACCGCACAAAGACACTCGTGGTTAGAACTTTCCCGTTATCTCGAGCGTCAAATCTGTTCTTGTGTTTCGATGAAATATGTTGCTTCTTCTTGCACACATTGTCTTCACAACTTTAACTTCAGAATCTTTATTACAATTTGATTACATCCGTCCTTCACTTAGTGTGGTAAGTAAAGCAAAGACAAGGCAGCTAAAAGACATGCGCATTTCATTTCCAATTGACATAGATGTACATCTGCAGTAAAAGCACCACAGTTCTCCTACAGAAGGAGGACATTGAATCACAGTATGAGAAATCCATCAAAGTTTCATCAAAGTCATCAACTTAATGACTAGAAGTCAAAAAAGTAGTAAATAACAACAAAACAAATCATAGTTTCATTTTACATACAGATATTATAACGCGAATAGGCGAGAGCAGCTGAAAATGAATGTGTTTGCAAATAACCCTAAGGCCTCATGCAGAGTTCACGCGATTTCATTGTCGCGATTCAGTCGCCGTGTTTTCCATTCATTTTCATTTTACATTCAAAGATTTCGGGCTGGAAAAGTATCGCAACCGAAATGCAAGCTGGTTGGCATGCAATGAACTCGTATCAGTTGTCTTGTCGCAACTGAATCGCGGCGATCAAATCGCGTGAACTCTGTGCGGGGTCTAAGGGTAACTAGAGCTAATGTCAGTGATTTCATATTAATTAATGAAGAATGAGTCTCTTGAGCATGATCTCTCTTACAATGAGGTCAATCGATTATGAGCTTTGAACTGGCTCAACTAAACTGAGACGGCATCTTCGGCGGCGAAAATCTGACATATTATAAACGCTGCTGGCAGCTCTCAAGATCTGATTAGCAGGGACAGGGCTACTTCCGTACTCATCTCTATAGTCAGGGGCATATGCTAATGATCATTTGGTAGAGGAGGCTTCGGTGTTGAATACCCATTTGTCCAATGGAAATCCTTTTGATTGTCAGCAAATAGAAGATAGAGATAGTTGAAACCTCAGCCATTTAAACAATTCCATCAGATCTCTGAATTTAGGATGATCACAACAAAAACAACATTATCGTGTGATAAACAGACCTGTATGTAACAGGGATTTTCTTGACACTCTTCACTGGCGAATAACCATTTCGCACCCGCGGACGTCGGCTCAAAATTGATAGGGCCTTGTTTCCTTTGTAGCTAACCTATGAAGTATAATGTTTAACGCAATTCTACAGAGGGTAATTAAGGCAAAGGCTTGCCCCATCCATGACTATCAAAGCACTTGGAAAGCCTCAAATGAAAAATTTCGAGAATCAGGGAAAGTTGGGCTAGCTAAACATGGAGGATTTTTAGCTCTGGTGATTGCTTCAGCTCTCGAAATCGCATCGGGAACATAAGAGCTAAAGGCAGTCCGCGCTGTGCTCGGAGAGTAACGCTGTCGCGTACAGTGAAGACAGTACGGGCGCGGAGAAAACATACGGCGAGAGTGCACGAGGAAAGAGGAGTGACGCGCAGTGCACACCTTGCGCACTCTCCGCGCCGTGCGCGGACGGCCTATAAAAAGAGATGAAAATTCTGCATAGAACATTGTTTGATTTACCTTTACAGTATCCACACTAATCCTTCGACAGAAACTCAAAAACTGACGATCCGAGTATTGATAGAGTAGCAAAGGACCAGCCTTAAAACGCTTATTGAAGAAAGATCTACCTATCTGGTGACGAAAGGTTGTCAGGAGACCCCTTGATTTACCCCTTGATTTTTTTTGATGAGATCGACAGACTTTATGATTCCAACTTCCGTAAAAACTGTTTGCTAAATTATAGATGTAAATGAGTATCTGTTTTCAGTGTGTATGTGTGTCTGTACGTATGGTTCCAACAGGAAGTTGCATCTAAGCAGCAATCCGGACCAAACTTTGCACACAACTTCGGGGCGAGACTAGTGTCGAAGGCTTCTTTTCGTCATCGGTCGATATCGATTTTATCGATTTTTTGCAAAATTTGAGCTACGGGGCTGGGAGTTGGCACAGGGGGGTAATCGAGCATGCTGATTACGAATATAATAATGACAGGGCCGGGCGGAGCCGGGTTTGCCAGCTAGTTCTTGATAAGTTTTGTCACCTAAATTTGGTAGTATTGATAAATCATACATAAAAGTCATTGGTGTATAACTCACCAGTCATTCTGTAGAGGTAGAACCAGGATTCAATTGCTTCTAGTGCCAAAAGTGAATGTGCATCCAGAGGCTAAAGGACGATGTTGAAAAGCGTGTGCTTAAAAAATAGCAAAACAACTTTGATAGAGAGATCTTCGTTTTGACTGGGTAACATGTTGAAGTACGCTATCTCAAGTTCCAAACCCGTAGGATTTGTGTACATCGCCTAACTTCTCCCAAGACTCTGCAATAGAAATCAATATTTGAAGTCGATAACGCTCATATTAGCGGCTCTCTAACGAAAGTATCGAAAGCATACCTCTGCCAATTGCAGATGATCTTTCGGTAATCGATGAACTGTAGCTAATGCAAGTGTTCCGGCAAGAAAGCAACTAAGTGAATCCTAAAGGTGCAAAGCATTCAAAAGCGAAGAAAAGACGATTAAAACACTAAAAAACAGGCAAATTCACATCATTTGACATCTACAAGCTTAACATTTTCGGTTAGTGTCAGCTTCATTCGTGCGACCAAGCAAGGCTAGACAGCGACTGGAAATAAGAATAGCTAAACCACAATCGGATTTTTATCGAACTGTTTGTTGGAGTAGATGCGCAAAAGAAAAATAGGATGGAAAACACTCCTTCATCCATCGTTCGGCATGATGCGCTAATTGGAAAAATAGGCGTGAAATAAGTAACAATCATTCTGCACTGACACCAAATACAATATATTTCACGCCAAAAATACTGTAAGATAGCCGAACGATGGCTGAAGAAGTAATATTGTTCATTTTATCAGAGTGGCTTTCTGAGTTTAGGGATCATCGATAGCACAGAATGAGTCACTGCAGCAATGTACACGTGAAATGCGTCACCGCGTTCCTTAATGAACAAAAACTCATTGATTTTCTTTTTTTGGAACGAATTCAATGATATGTGAAAAAAGAGGTAGTAGTACCTTGAAACGTAATTCGATGCCACGCTTTTCCTTGTCAACGCAAATTATAGCTCCGGAACATTTACAACTTTAATGCTGAAAAACCTACGACCCAATTCATGACACGTAGATGTATTAGGTTGTCCCGAAAGTTTTGTCCGTTTTTTCAACCTATCATAAAAACACGAGGAATGAAGGAGGCAAACGCTTCAGGTACTATCCGACGCAACTTTTCCCTTTTTCCAATTGTCATGATCCCATGCCGATTACTCTTTTGCTTACTGAGATAAACGCCGAAATTTCAAACCCGTGGTTTTTACTATGTCCAAGTTTGGCAATTTTTCACGAACTTCATTTTCAACTTTTGGAAGACTTTTGATAGCGCTCAGATAGAGTAAACAAAGGGCAATGTAACGCAATTTTTTGGCTTATCCAGCTGGCTTTTCATTATTTTTTGAGATGATTTTTTCAAAAGTCTTCACTTTTGCGAAGTCCCAAAATACAGAAACGCCTCGAACAAATCATCGGATTTTGAAGCTTTCAAAAATCGATTACGATTATTCACTATTCTTACAAAGCAACTGAGCGTTTACCGCTTCGACATATAAGATTTCGCATTTTACGGTGTAGGGGGCTGGGGCGGGGTCAAACTCAAAAATTATGGAAATTTTATCGCTAAAGACCCCACAAATTGGGGGGAAAGTACACTCACTGGAAAGAGGAGGAAAAGCTGCATCAGCAGCATAACATCTTAGTTGTGCGCCGTTTCATAATGTCTGGCTTTTGGCATCACCAAAAGTGGAATTTGATAGCATCAGAAAAACAATTCTAAAAAATTTTCAAGGCTAGCTATAGATGCCGCAAAATTGCATTATATTGCCATTATTATTTGTTTGCTCTATCTAACTGCTACCAGAGCTTTTCCGAAAGTCAAAAATGAAGATTGTGAAAAATTGCCAAACTTGGACATAGTAAAAACCACGGGTTCAAAATTTCGGCGTTTATCTCAGAGAGCAAAAGTGTAATCGGCATGCGAGTATGACAGTTAGAAAGAGGAGGAAAAGATGCGTCGGATAGTGCTTAGAGCGTTTATCTGTCTTCATTCCATGCGTTTTTATGATAGGTTGAAAAAACGGACAAAACTTTCGGGACAACCTAATATAAATGTTATATGATGCTTTCGCCAAAACGGAGAAGTCTCATCATATGTTTTGAGTATACCTTTCTTACACCTTTTCACATCTGCAGTCATACAGTGCCAGTTTACAATCTCAGACAGTGAGTATTCACGACGAAGAAATATTATTTGACGTTTTCGGCAAAAGTGAGAAGTGCTACGAAGGGGGGAGGTACAATGCAGACGTACAACAGAAAACCTCAGTTACTGAACTATAAAATGGTACTTTTCACAAAAATCTTGAACAACTCCAGAAATAGGTAATTGTTGCAAAGTTTTATAAAGTTGCAAACTCAAAGAGTGTTTTAAAAGCTACCGAATAGTCAAAATTAACAATATCCTGGACAGGCAGTTGCAAAACAGAGCTTCATCCTCTCAAGTTACTCTGGTCTAACTTACCATCCCCGGATAGTGAAGCTTCGTTGACCCTGACGCAGAATCGGACGTCGGCTCAAAATTGATAGGGCCTTGTTTCCTTTGTAGCTAACCTATGAAGTAGAATGTTTAACGCAATTCTACAGAGGGTAATTAAGGCAAAGGCTTGCCCCATCCATGACTATCAAAGCACTTGGAAAGCCTCAAATGAAAAATTTCGAGAATCAGGGAAAGTTGGGCTAGCTAAACATGGAGGATTTTTAGCTCTGGTGATTGCTTCAGCTCTCGAAATCGCATCGGGAACATAAGAGCTATAGGCAGTCCGCGCTGTGCTCGGAGAGTAACGCTGTCGCGTACAGTGAAGACAGTACGGGCGCGGAGAAAACATACGGCGAGAGTGCACGAGGAAAGAAGAGTGACGCGCAGTGCACACCTTGCGCACTCTCCGCGCCGTGCGCGGACGGCCTATAAAAAGAGATGAAAATTCTGCATAGAACATTGTTTGATTTACCTTTACAGTATCCACACTAATCCTTCGACAGAAACTCAAAAACTGACGATCCGAGTATTGATAGAGTAGCAAAGGACCAGCCTTAAAACGCTTATTGAAGAAAGATCTACCTATCTGGTGACGAAAGGTTGTCAGGAGACCCCTTGATTTACCCCTTGATTTTTTTTTGATGAGATCGACAGACTTTATGATTCCAACTTCCGTAAAAACTGTTTGCTAAATTATAGATGTAAATGAGTATCTGTTTTCAGTGTGTATGTGTGTCTGTACGTATGGTTCCAACAGGAAGTTGCATCTAAGCAGCAATCCGGACCAAACTTTGCACACAACTTCGGGGCGAGACTAGTGTCGAAGGCTTCTTTTCGTCATCGGTCGATACTGATTTTATGGATTTTTTGCAAACGCTGAGCTACGGGCTGAAAGTTGTACAGGAGATAAGTGGGAGTGCTGATTACGAATGCAATATTAGTTTTCAAGAATATCAGTTACCTTAACGGCTAATTTTTTTTGCAAATTTTGAGTACATAAATTTGCTAGCCAAGTGATCTGTAACCATTAAGGACGATATTTGGCGAAAGCATGTGATCTACAGATTTTGAACGATGATTATAAGAACGTGAGTTCGTAAGCTCGTAGTTTGGCGATTAATACAGATGACCTGGCTTAAGCATGCTTCGATAGCACTGTATCTATTAATTTTAAATTACGAAGAAGAGCAGATATTGTTCAGCTGATGCGCGAAAATGAGGCAAATTCAGGAATGCGTGATATCACAACATTTCTCGCATCGTAACCCTGCTAAAAATTTTACAGTGTACAAAGAACACTATTTAGGTAATCAGAGTGTCTGAAAATCTCTTTACACGATGTTCGGACCAATCCAAGACCATCAATATTTTAGCCGAAACCCCGACGAGCTTCAGAGCCGAGAACTAGAAAAAAATTGAAGGGCCCGAATTTCTTGGAAACTTGCGCTAGAGGTTATCTAGCCGTTGATTACAAGAGACACATATGTTTTGCAACTTAACGTCTTACTGTAGGGTGGTAAGTAAAATTTGGAAGACATGGATTTTTTCAAAACTCGGGCCTATCTTTGTCTCTGAAAAAAGACCTGCGGCTAACGCTATCGCATGATAATCTTCGGGGACAGCTCTAATGGACTGTGCTTAATAAAGTCTTTCATGTGTGTTTTGAACGTTACACCACTGCGATCGAATAATTAGCATGGGTACTGTACTTTATGGCATTTGCGGGTTGGGGGTAAAATTTTTTCTGCCTAGTAATTCCCAATTTCTTGAAATTTTTTCTTGTGTTGACAGATCCAAGACCATAAGTGCAGTGGAATCAAAATCTAAGATTTATGTAGCCAATAAAACAACGTTATATCGTTAGCCACGGTAGCCATTGCAAACGAAAAGAAAAGAGAAGCTAGGGTTCTTAAGAGCAGTATTAGGTCGCTCCGAAAGTAATGTCGCTCTTCAAACGTACGCCACATCTCGTGGAACAAAGATGTGTAAGAGATTCTGGAAGTAATTAATGCAGCATTTCATTTCCTTTCTAATGGTTATATAATCACTGCACAAAATCTAATAAACTTTCGAAAAATTATCAAAATCTGCGACCCATGCTTTTTGAGAAGGCCAAGTTTCACGATTTTTCTAAATCTTTATAACAACCCTTGGAAGGAGTTCAAGTAATGGATGGATAGAGCAAACCATACAGGAAACAGCACAACTTTTTTCTGCTTTTCAGAACTCGTCATGATTATTGTATAGATTTTTTGATGGAACCACTGAATTTCAGCAGACTCGTCTCAGACAAATGCATCATACACCAATAAGTCTTCGGATTTTGGAACTTGCAAAGATGGATTATGGTTACACTAATTTTACAAACCAAATGAGCTTTCACTGCTTCAGATTAGCAACTTTCGAAAAATCCGGGTACAGCCTGGGGCGCCCTGGAAAACCTGAATTATGATGATTTTATCCCGGAAAACTGAATGGATCAGAAACAAAAAACAAGTGGTGGAAGAGGACAAAAAGCTGCGTTGAATGACACCTGAGTTGCTTGCCAGTTGTTGTTCTGTGAGGTTTGAGTTGATCAAATATGGAATTTGATGGCATTGAAAAAATGGTTCCAGAAGCTCTAAGAAGCAAGCTAAGGAAAAGAAAAAAATTATCTTGTGTCCTGTAGGATTTGCTCTATCTACCTGTCATTTCTACTTCGTTGGAGATTAGGTACAAAAATTTAGAAAAATAGCCGAACTTGACTATGACAAAAAGCATGTGTCACAAATTTTGGTAATTTTTCGAAAGCTCATTAGATATTATGCAATTGGATTGTAATCATTAGAAAGAGGATGAAATGCTGCATTGAATGCTCCTAAGATCTCTCGAAGATCTTATTCCACGAAATGTAGCGTCCATTTGAAAAAAGCAACATTACATTCGGAACGACGCTACATAATATTACCAAAACATAAAAAATAACTTCAGCTTTCTACAAGTTTAAGCCGTCATCAATGTGTTAGCTCTTTTGACCACTTGCTGTTGCCCTTACCCACGACTTCTTTATGATTTATTGCGTCGAATAGTACAGTACAAATAAATGAAGCGAAAATATGTGACGATGAGGTTAATTGGCGATAAGGGAAGACGGTCTTCTGACGAACGAGTCGCGGACGCTTTCTGGATCAAAGTGAAGTTAACAAAGCCGGCCCTTCAACCGCACATGTGTTAACTTTGCAGCTGTGTCTTCGCGCAGCTGCGAGTTGCGCAACTGCGCCCTTCCTTTCATGTCTTGTGATGACTTGCGATCAGAATACAGATCGCGATTCCGCGATAAACAAGCTTCACAAGGTTTACGTATCAATTGCAAGTACATTTTAAAGAATTATACAGTGAGACAAAGAAAAACATTTCACAAAGTTAAATGCAGTCATGCATAGGGTTGAGCCAGACTCCGCGGGGAAGCGGCGTACGCGGCGTACGCAGCGTACGCCCGGTATATTTCATCATAGGAGCATACGCGGCGTACGCTGCGTACGTCGCGTACGCCGCGCAGTCTGGCCCAACCCACAGACGAGGCAAAAATTTGTATAGGTCACAAACTGCAATGCAGAAAATTTTTGAAGCACTTTCAAGGTACGTGCCGCATAACACTTTCAATGAGAAATAGATTAATAACTTAGCAACGACTCTATGGCAAATCGCACTATTTGGTAGTGCGCGCAGAATCCTTGACATTGCATGAGCTATTCTAAAACGGTCTTGTTCTCGTGATTCTTATATTTATGGAATGAATTCGTAGTATCCTCTTTGGCATTTACAATAGTTCCTGTTTGCAGTGCTTCGTTGAGCCTTCTAGAAGAATATTTCACACGTAAGTGTGATTGAAAATTGCAACGTTGTGTTTCACGGGATACGTGAGCACTATTTTTCTCCAGAATAATTGACTCAAACCCCGATTTATATTCAGTGCAAGTATCAAAAAGATTAGACAGGGTGGATAGATTCATCTTATTCAAGTGCTTCCTGATTTGGCAGGACTTGGTGTAACAGTGACTGGAATGTTTACAAACTTACTGCCATTTGCATGCTCATGATTTTAACCTTTACCATTTTTACCAACGTTTTGAACCTATTTCAAACTACAAGACTAAGCAACCCATGCAACTATGTTGTATTAGGTTGATGCAAAAGGAATGGCCGATTTGCGAATTCTCATTTGACGTGCTATAATTTTCTAAAAGATCCACATTTTTGAATGCGGTAAAGACCCCCAGAAGCAGCAAATCTTTCGCAATACAGCGCGTACTTATTTATACTCAAACCCTAAACGGGAAGAGAAATACGGACTAAAAGACAAAGAAGGTCCTTCTGCTAGAACCTTGTTTTTGACAATTCATAACTTCCTTCAAAGTTTCTTAGTATGAAATGATAAGTTGCCTATCTTGTAGCCGCAAGCCAGTAGTACAAAATGCAATAAAAAATTCGGACAAAAAAGTTTGCGAGAAAGAAGAAAATTGAAATTTAAAATTTCTCAATTTTTTCAACATTTTTTCAGCGTGCCTCAAAGTCCGAAATATAGAATTTTCTGATTCTCTACGTACTGAACAGCTGGAGGTTCTTGCAAAGACTGCTAATAAAGGCCGCTCAATTGAGCAAAGCTTCGGCGACTGACTTCCTCAGAACAAAATTATGGGTCATAAAATGACCACAACAGCTACCCATGTTTAGGCGCCGATATCTCAGTCTGGATAACTTCAAAGAATGCAGTTAAGTACATATAATGTAGGAAATCTCTATCACATACAACAGCTAAGTTTTCGAAGAAAGTTCATAACGTGCTTGAATTCTGGCCGGAAAAATGAATGCAATGAAATTCTGAACTTGGATGCGGTTATTTGAAGCTCAGTAACTTTATAAGAGATGAGGATAAGAGCCCGCTTCAAGAACCGTTAGATAAACCATGGAAACTGCTTCGCGACATTATACTACATCCATTATAAAGAAGAAGTATTGATGAAAAAAGTTGCCCTGAAAAAAGGATTGGAAAATCGGCCATTTCTTTTGCATCAACCTAATACATCTGTATTTTAGCAACCCATTTTTGATTCTCGCATCTTCTGTATGACGGCGGCTATGTTCAGCTATTTATGATCGGTGAATAATCATATTTTTGTTATTTTTGATTTTATCCTCCTTCTTGTTCAGGTATCCCGCTCTTATTTTTCCAGAAAATACGCAACATTCACCAGAGTACGCCTATGGGTCGACACCTCCATTCATTACTTTTTCTTGCGATAATAGAGAGTACAATATAGTTTCTGGAAGTCGAGAAACATTATGCATCTCTTTCTCACTAGCTAAGAGGCATACTTGGCAAACCATCAAGCGTTTTCCTGAGCACAGCTTAGCTTATGTGTATGACTAGCATCAGCACATTACTACCTTGATGACGTGTTTTCTACTCTTATCGTATCTCCCACATTCTCTAATGGTCACTTGCCTTCTTTTGGTTTTGAGAGAAGATTAAGATATAGGGCATTGGAGAAATCGCAACGATGGCTTGACATGCAGGCACTTCCGACAATTGCATTTTCTTGGTCATCCCTAGTTGAATGGTTTTTCTGTCTTTTTCTGCCTATGATAGTATTTGGACACTGGAAGTGATGAGCTGAGCGTTTAGGTGATGCCTTTTAATATGAATGTTTTATCCTTTCATGGGAGCAAAGAGCGCAGCCAAATCCGTCGCCAGAATCTCGCACTCAGATAATCGCCGGGGGCAGGCGGTCCGTAAACTCCCGCTTTTCTGCAGGCGGTCAGCCGAAATTTGGGGCGTGGCCAAACCTTCAGCAAGCGGTACTTCCTTTACTGTCTAATGTCCTGCCAGCGGGCAGCAACACAGAATTTTCTGCAGGCGCTCGTCAAACAATCTCTTTCAGCGAGCGCTGGTCAAATTTTCAGCTGGCGCTCGGACGGTTTCTAAGCAGTTTCGGGCGTACGCCGAGCAAAGGTGAGACTCTACATGGCAGAGGTGTCATCGATGGTGTAATTACTCAAGTTTGAGGTACTTTCTCCCAGCGGAAAGTACCTGAGGGCTGCGCGGTCCTCCACAAAAGACCGTGCGGCCCTCGAAAATTTTGCATATTCTCGCGGAAAGTCCGCGAGAATGCGGCCATTGCGCCGCAGCTAATCTATAAGGAAACCGCGATTGTTCTCCAAGCATTCGTCTGAAATTTCGCTAAATTTCCAAATATCTGCAAGCGGACCGCAAAAAATCAGCGAACTATTTTTGCGGTGCCCGTCCGCCCATAAATCGCATGGCCGCCTGTCCCCGGCGATTATCTGAGCAGATGACCTATACCTATTTCTTCATTGGAGTAATATTGGCTCTCTTCTATTCAGATAATCGCCGGGGGCAGGCGGCGTACGAATTTTGAGCAAGCGGGCACCGGAAAAATAGTTCGCTGATTTCTTGCGGTCCGCTTGCAGAAATCTGGAATAGTTTTGGCCTTTAGACGCTCGGAGAACTATCGCGGTCTTTCTGTGGATAGGTTGCGGCCCAGTGGCCCAATCTAGCCCAATATGCAAAATTGTTGAGGGCCGCACGGTCCTTTGTGAAGCACCGCACTGCCCGGGGCACCTTCCGTTAAAAGAAGGTACCCCAAATTTGGGTAAATACCATCGAGACAACTCTGCCACATAGAGTCTCACCATTTCTTGGCGTACGCCCGAAACTGCCTAAAAAGAGTCCGAGCGCTTGCTGAAAGTTTGGCTAGCGCTCGCTGGAAGAAATTATTGGCCGAGCGCTCGCAGAAATTGCTGTACTGCTGCCCGCTGACAGAATATGCGACCGTCAAGGAAGTGCCCCCCGCTGAAGGTTTAGCCAGGCACCTAAGTTCCGCTGCCCGCCTGCAGAAAAGCCCGAGTTTGCGGGCCGTCTGCCGGCGATTATCTGAGTGTGGTTCGTACTAGTGAAGGGCTATCAATCTAAAGAAAACGCTGCTCATGAGCATCATTTATCTCAACCCAGATAGTTGGAAACGCTGGATACACTTCATCCCCTCTTCTTTCACTCGGTTGTAGGTGCAGAACCTTTGAAAAGGTCAATTTAATTTGACATTTCCTGCTTATTTTGAGGTTGCAAGATAGCATTTGACAAAGTCATGTTTATGTCCAATAGTATGTCAGAAGGCGAGTGGCCCATTCGCACAAGCTGCATACCACTCAAAAAAGAAGCAAACAGATTCTTCGATGCATACTCACTAATTCAACTTTTCCCCATACAAAATACCACAAAACAATGATGGGGAAAGAAATGTGGCGCAGACGATGCTACTAGGAGCACCGCCTTTGTTCAAGATGGTGGAGGCTTTATACATTTTGAAGAAATTAAGGTTAAAGGCGAATTTAGGATATGTGCGATACATACTTATCCATTGACCATGACGAAAATCTGATCGGTTTGAATCGTGTCTTGGTCTACAGCTCAAAAAGTCGCTGGTCAGTCTAATTTATAGTTTAGCTAGTCTAATTCATAAAAGATTGATTATCAACCTTCTACAATGAGAATAACCAAAGTGAAACACAATTTTGTAACATATATCATATTTTCGCACTGCTGGTAAGTTACACTGAGCCTCATTTGTATCAAGTTTTTCTGTCTTATAGAATTCAATTCATAATTTTCACATTACTTGAGTTAGGACTGTTTCAAGAAACCCACTCCAGCTAATGAGAAGTGCTAGAGGAAAAATTAAAGTTAGCAGAAAGCTAACAGTCTACATAAGTACTCCAAGCGTCCACTGCTTCATCAAGAGCCAGCATTCTGGGATTGTCGGGCAATTTGATGCGTACTTCCGTAGCTCCGAATTTGGAACCGTAGTGACCAGCCCAATAGCGACTGTCTTTTCCACGACTCAAAACACCTATCCTTCTGATACCGGCCGGGTAATCCTCGAACATGTATTCAACAAGTTCCCATGACTTTCCTTCTTAATATCAACTACCTTTTTACTAAGATAAAGTAAAAGTTAACCAACTTTCTTCAGCCCAACTTCGCTTGGCAGTACGAAAGCGAGGATAGATCGAGTTTTCAAGTTTTTCGTAGTCTTCACTTGCATCGAACTCTTCGTGCTCTTTCAAGAGCTTTACTTGAAGCTCATATATTGCCTCACAATCTCTTCTGCAAATGCAGCGTTCACGAACAGTGATTTCTGGTCGAATCAGATCCATGATCCAATCCTGGAAATGAATGGATTTTGGATGCAAATTATTGTATTATAGTTTCATAGCAGTAGGTGCCGCATGCAATCTTTGTTTCTTCGTAAAACTCATTAGTCGGTTGTGGTTCCTGGATCAATGCATGGTTTGTCGCCTTTTCGAATGCATCCGGTTGGAAGGTCAAGAATGTCGTTTTTTAATAGCAAATCAACAAGACAAATCCAAAAAAGTATGCGAGGGGTACTATTCGATAGAGCAAGTAAGCTGTACAAGATGATCTCTGAGCATCGGTACGAGTTGTGATATGTATACGCAACGTTTAGAGCCGAAACATAACGCAATTCTGATGAGAAAAATAGGATTTTTGCCCCCAAGGAATTATGCGAAGCTCTCACTTTGTCCTATATGTAACAGAAACATACATTTATCCATATACAGTTGCTGATTTTTTTTTCGAATTCAACGCTTTCGGACCGCGAAATCGCAGGCAGCAAATTGGCGTGTTACATCGTTATAGCACGAGGGACGTCCGCCGGGAAACGACTTTTTTCATGGCATTATTTCAACTAAATTCATGAAAAACTTGCACTAAGTGTTGTGTTTCGCACTTCTCTTACTTGTAGTTCTACACTGTGCATCATTCGTCTCCATGGTCCTTCATTTGTAATAGAACCGGGAGCTAATTTGAAATCGTGGATGTCCTTCAACTCTAGTCCATGAGGGCTATCTAGCATGGTGATCGCGAACATCACACTCTTCTCGCACAAGAACGCATGGTTTTTGAGTGGGTAGTATAGTTAGCACCGAATAATTTTCGAATATTCGTATTCGAATGGTTTACTCGAACTAGAGGAGTCGAATATTCAGGAAAACGCACTTATTCTATTACTCGAATTAGCGAGTAAATGAAAAACACTTTTATTCGAATGTTTGTTTATTCGACGAATTGGATGAACAATTTATTCGAAAATTATTCGAATATTCGATTTTTCGAATAAAATTTCGAATAAGTTGTTTATCGATTCGTCGAATAAACAAACATTCGAATAAAAGTGTTTTTCACTTACTCGCTTATTCGAATGATTTTGAAATTCGAATACAAATTCGAATATTACGAATATATTTCGAATACAATCTGAGATCATTTTATAATAAAGAATGGCAAGGTTTTGCACTTACATGTTGACAAGTTGCGGAATGAGGCGAGTGATTGCCGAGGGTGCGGAGGGTGCAGATTGTCTACAAGGCTAGCGTGTTTTCGTAGGGGTACAGGGGGTGGTAAATATCGACTGTCTTCGAGGAAGGCGTCCAAAAGGGGTGCGGTTCTTAAGTGCAAAAAGGCCTTAGTCGGGAAGGGGCCGACACCCTCGTAAGGTTGCTAACAGTATCCCCCCCCCCCCCCTCTTTCGCAAATTTGTACTCGGATGTATGACTTGGGAACTCGGTGTCTTGCGTAAACATGCTGTAGTAGTTTCTCAACGTTTACGCTTCAACTGTTCACACTCTAATCTTCCTGCTAAAGTTCTTGGCAGCCCGTAATTCGTCAAAGTTCATGGTTGCTCATAATTGGTGAGGACTGATGAGAACAGTTTTTTGTTCTTCTCGAAATAAAAGTTGGTAAACGGCCCGTAGAGCGATTTCTATAGGTCTCTAAGGCTCATAGGGCAATCATTTCTTACAACTCTGGTCTATTAGCTGTCCATTGGGTAGATCTTTCAATAAATGTAGTTGTTCATAGGACACTTTCTTGATTTGTAGGGGCTCGTAAGGCAGTTCTGTTAATAGTATTGATCGGCATCTGTAAGCTTCACGTAGCGAGTTTTTTCTACAAATCATTCAGTTATCGTTCCATAAGCTTCGCATATGGCAAAATTATTTCTAAGATGCTGATCTATAAGCGGCCAGAGCATCTCCTAGAATAGTCGGTCTGTATGCGGCGCATAGGGTAGTCCCTTTGAAAGTTGCTTTGCATGAACGTGAATATCGTAAGCGATTCATTATTATTTTTTTGTTTGGATACTGGGAAATCACAAATACTTGTTTATAAGGGACTCGCAGAGCGGTTCTTTTTCAAATATTGCTATGAGCGGCTTTTGAGGCAATTTCTTTCAAGATGTTTTTTATATACCGGTCTGTAAGCGGCGCATAAGGCAGTTCCTTACCAAGATAATGGCCTGCAAGAGGCCCATGGGCATTTTTTCACAAGATATCGGTTTGCAACCACCCCTTCCCCCCCCCTCCTCCTTCCCCCATAGGGCGGCTTCTTCCAAGCCCATAAGGCAGTTTTTTCCCTCCAAATATCGGTCTGTAGAACCTCATATGGCATTTCTTTTTTGAATTTTGGTCTGTAAGAGGCCAGTAAAGCAGTTTTATCACAGAATGTCGATTTGTATGGATTTCAAGGGCATTTCCTCGAAATACCGTTATGTAGGTATCTAAGTAGCTGGTAGCTCCATTTTCTTCGATCAGAACTTCGGTCTTTGGCTCCATAGAGCAGATCATATGTGAGCGCTTCGTACGGCAGTACAGTTTGTAGGGGTTCTAGGGTAATAGAATTTTAGGATATCGGGCTGGTTCCTATAGGACAGCGCCTTCTCATAATTATTGGTCCGTGGGGGAAGGAGGAGGGGGAGGGGGAGAATGGTTGTAAGGTAGCTTTTTCTCAGAATATCGGTCTGTAGGGCGGCCTTAGCGCAGTTTTTTCTCAAGTATGGGTTTGTTGGGGGTCAGGGGAGGAATTTGTGTACTTTCTGAACCGGTACATAAGCTTCTTATAGGGCAATTATTTTTTTTATAAACATCGGTCTATAGATTGTAACCTCTTAACACATTGGTCTTTCAGTGGCTCATAGGGCATGTTCTTCCTATAGTTACTGGTCTACAGTGGAGCGTAGGGCTGTTATTTTTTGATGCATTAATTAGGACGTAAAGATATGTCTTAAGCAGCATCAGAGCTTCTCTTGTTCTCAAAATATTAGCTTGTGGTATACACAGAGCGGTTGTTTCTTGAAAAAGTAGTCCAAGCGGCTCTTTGGGCATTTTTTAAAGGTTAATTTGAAGATTTTAAGAGCAATTCCTTTTTAAAATATTGGTCTATGCGCGGCCCATAGGGCAACCTCTTCTCGAAGTGAAGGACCGCAAGCGGCTCATAGGCTTCTTTTTCATGTGCAGTTTTTTTTGAAAAATATCGGTTCGTAGGCAGCCCACAGGGCAGTTACTCTTCAAAGTAAGGATCTGTAAGCAGCCCATAGTGCCCTTCTAATGACTGATCACCGTTCGCGGGCAGTTTCTTTCTTCTGTAAGCAGCCCATACCGCTTCCTCGCAATATTATTGTGCAGGGGGCGTGGCAGATTTATCCCAGAATGTAATATCATTTATTGTTGTTCAGAGAACAGTACTTTCTCAGGTTACAACTCTGTAGAAAACCCGTAAGAAAGCTTTTTCTCGTGGAATACCGTTCTGGACAATCGGGGCAGCTCTTACGTATGTCGCTCTGTAGGCGGTACGCGGAGCAGGGTTTATTCAAAAATGTGGTCTGTAAGCGACACGCAGGGCATGAGAACAATGCTTGTGTTTGCTGCCGAAATTTTTCGGACATTAAAGTATGTTTTCAGTTTAGCTGAGGTATTGTAGACTACATCGTTGTTCTGAGAATCGACTGCTTGGTGATTCTCAGTGAAGGTTGGTGGAAAAATTTGGCCCAAAGAAAATTTTTAAAAGGGACTCAAAAGATATCGACTATCAACAATGAGATTCTTATATTTAGAGGAGAGTCAAAAGTCATTGATTAATCAGTTTCGTGTTGCCCACAACTGAAAGTATAAAACATAGGTGTAATTGTCTTGACAATCATACGGCTAAATTGTATTGCCCCAACCCACTTGCAAGCGGCCCTTAGGGTCGCTAGTTTCGAATAATATTCGGTAGTCGGATGTTCAATCATTTTCATTTTCGAATATTACTCGATAGTCAAATATGATCATCAATTCAATCATTCGATATTCGCCCGATTCGAAGAGCACCAGATCGAAAATTCCACGAGCATCAAATACGAAAATTCGATATCCGTAGCATATATGGGGTGTCCCAAAAGTATTCAAGCAGATCGCTTGTACCTCTACGAAGTCTTTTGCCAACTGGTGGGTAATATTCTGTAGGGCTGCTTTCAGCTTAAGTATACATCGGAAAGCGGATTCCTCAGCTCTTTATCATCGTGAAATTGCGGTGGGAACTTCCAGCATATAGAATAACTGCGAAATAAGACATGCGAAACTTTTTAAATAATATAGAGTGTGTGTAGCAAAGTCCTATTTATGCTGCTTTCCCTACGCAAAATTTCGCGAGTTTTTCAAGCTTATTGATATGTGGTCACGTTTTTGAGAAACATTTTAAAACATTTGTTAACGATGTACCTGACACAAGCTGTGAAAAAAGCATCAAGGTTGGTGCTTATCTAAAACTAGCTGGCTTACCCGGCTCCGCCGTATCCGGACCAAACTTGGCACACATACACTTCGGGCCCCGGCGGGTGTCACAGTCCACTTTTCGTTATCGATCGATGTCGATTTTACCGATTTTTATCGATTTTTTTGCAGAGTTCACCTACAGGGCTAGGAGTTGGCACAGGGGGGAAGTGAGCATGCAGATTACGAATACAATATTAGTTTTCAAGATCGTCCATTGGCACAGGGGGGGGGGGGTAATCGAGCATGCTGATCACCCCCCCCCCCTTGGGGGTGATCAGCATGCTCGATTACCCCCCCCCCCCCTGTGCCAACTCTCAGCCCCCTAGCTCAAACTTTGCAAAAAAATCGATAAAATCGATAAAATCGATATTGATCGATGACGAAAAGTAGCCTATGACACCCGCCGGGGCCCAAAGTGTATGTGCGCCAAGTTTGGTCTGGATCGGTTCAGAAATGGAATTTTCTATTCGGAACATACGTACACACATACATACATACAGACAGACAGACAAACAGACATTCAGCTTTATATATAAGATGAGTGACTCTAGAAC